AGTCTACTGTATAATAATTATCACTAGTCGTCTTATTGAGACAAGCTGCTGATTAAACCATCAACAAAGACTGAACTCTTTATCTTTCCTTTCAAGGTAAAATGCCGTATTCTGGTCTTGGCGGAATGGAAATAATAGAATTTCTGAAAGCAGGACGAATTTTAGCCAAGCCGGATGGATGCCCAGATAAAATGTAAATAATCTTGAATGGAATAAGACCCTGGTCTGTCACAATGGTTCAACTCCGAGGTGTGACTAAACAGAATCGTTTTTCTGTTCGCAGCTACGATATGATGAAGTCATGCTGGAGTTTGGATTCTACAAAGCGTCCATCATTTTCTGAGCTTTTGGAGTCACTGGAGGAAGAAATAAAGACCGAAGGCGTAAGAGTTTGATGGTCACCGAAAAAGTTTATGATCGTCTGTACTCCTTGCATCAGGAAATGGAATTTGATCGGGAAAGAGCAGAAGGAAATAGATGAAGAGCTCTTTGTGGGCTCATATGCTAAATAATGTTTGTTTTGATCTTGTTGGTATTGAAGATGACGTTACTTTTATTGCAAGTTAATTGACTCGACCATGGTACCTATGTGGAGTAAGTTACTTAGATGGTCCACTGATAAGTTGACCTATTTATGGGTGTGTTGTGCTCCGTTGAAATGGAGTGAAAGAAAAGGACTTTGTTTGACGGTGTTAAGCAACATTTAGTTAAATCACTTTTGAAGTCAGGATTAAAGAAATTACATCACGATACTTGGCAAATATTGATGAAAATACTGAAAAAAAATTGACTTAACAGGAGAAGAAATATTCAGTACAAATTGAACATTCATGATCTGATGAACTGAGTAACTGAAGAACTTGCTCTTTACCTTTATTTAATGCATAGGCTTATTACCGTTAGTTTAATTTATTTGTAGGATGTCCCGGAGGATGAGAACTATCTCGAACCGGAGTTCAATGGAACTACAAATATCTCAATGGACGAGAGTAATGACTAAGATGGAAACAACTGCCAAATAGCTTAAAGAGCTTTTGTTGCCTCAGTAAAACACCATTTCTGCCATTTTAGTGCCCAGTATAACATCTCATTTTGCTGAAATATTTGTTTTGTCATTCACGGAAACTTTACATAAGATCTAACTCAAGTGAACAACTACTAGCCTCAGAACAGGTCTCCCGCTTACAAAGTGGAACGTGCCGCGAAAGATTGGTTCCTAGCCCCGACTCACCCGGCATTCGCTTCGCTGAAAGGGACGCTAGTCGTCAATTTGTGAATGTTGATGAAATCGCTTTCATAAATACAGCCAAATAGAAGCTTTGCTAAGATTCGACTGACGATGCGAAAGACGTATTGATGGGTTCTTAAAGGGCGTTTAATTATAAGTGTTTTCATGCTTTAAGAATTGCAAATCAAATCAGTAATTTTAATTAAAGATGCTCTTGTACTAGTTTGTTTCAGAAAAATTCAAAGGTTTTTGGGCTACCACTTTCCTCAAACTCCTTGTATAATCTTGTCAGGAAAAGCAAGATCACAGGAGCCCCGGCAGAAAGTGTGGACATATATTCATTTATGCATCGTTCCTTAAGCGACCCATTTGTACCCACTCATCGTCGCAAAAGAGAGGGTTCAGTTTTGAGCCGATCATCGACGCTGGTTCGTTCTCATTGATCTCCACAAAGAAGCAATGTGGTTGAGTGGTGGAAGAGAGTTATGGCCTGTTGACATAGGCTCTAACTGATTGGGACGAATCTTTGACACGCATCTTCGGATATTTTCTCGAAGATCCTCCTTCAGCCTTCAGTCTTCAGTGTTTAGTCCTCTTGTGCTGAAGTTCACAATACACCATTTTTTATTTTGATTTTTTTATTTGTTTGTTTTTCACTTCCAAACGAATTAAATCCTAGCGATCACGTCATCATGGCCGGTCCAATATTTTAACGACTTCAATCATTAACATATTCGAAAAGAAAAAAAAATCACGCAATTCGAAAGATTAAGTTACGAAATCGAAGAAACGTAGTTACGTATTCGAAAAATGAAAGCAGGAAAATGAAATCTCATCCACATTCCTTTCTTACGTTACTCTATGCAATTAAATCAATCGTAATACGTTTTAGTAAACATCACACAGTTGAAAAGCGCGTGCCTTTTGCACACGCTCATTGGCTAGGTCGGTTGTGACTAGCAAGTACGTACTATTCATCTCTAAGAAGCCGAAAAGACAAAATCGCGCATCAAAAGTTTAATTCCCGGCAACTTTCTAGTGAACTGACATAAAAAATAGATTTTTTCGGTTTTTGTGTGGACTGTACTAAAACTATTATTCACCCCAGTATCGGTGAAACTGGGTGGATAATGGCCTCGCTCGTTAAAAACCCACTCCTAATCACTTCCACTTGAGTGAATAATTGCGAGCAGACATGGAATGAACAAATCAAAGCCTCATTCATCGACAAATCACACAGATAATTGTAGAATCAACCCCTTACAACCTAATATCAGTATGTATATTCTCTTTACTGTTCTCTGCACTTTACCTCGAGTTTCTTTAGTTGGTGATCATTTCCTTTATTCTCGTGACCTTTACGTGTAATTCAGGGGTGATATTTTAAGGACGAACATGATTTCAGTCTGGGGTCAACATTTGCTGTATGCAGTTTGGAGAAATATCAACTTTTTGGTTGCAATGTAAGTTTATAAATAAGTTCTGAAATGTTTAAGTGGTTGTAACTATATTCATTTCTATTGGCTTCTGAAGAAAAACACGATTCCATGTACTGACTTACCATTGTTAATTCGTTTCACTGAAGGCATCTAGAACTAAGCGGTTTTAATATTAAAGAACTTTTTTTTGAGTGGGCAATAATAAGCATCTGAACTCAAATATTCACAAATATTTGTCAACCGTTAAAAGAAAAGAAAAAAAAAAGAAAAAGTGGTATGTAAAAGTATCTAAAATTACTTTGTGCACTGCTTTTCTCTAAAATCCTGTCCTAAACCAGAATGGATTTTTATGATTTTTAAATCTAAAACTAAATCCTTCTTAATCGAGTTGATAACGTAAATTGGCCACCGTTAAGAGTTTCAAAGCTGACGTTCCTGACGAAGATCTAACGCTAGAAACGTCAGCTTTGAAACTCTTAACGGTGGCCAATTCACGTTATCAACTCAGATGACAATGCCAAATTACCTTGAGTTGTCCATATTATAAAATACTTTTTACTATAAATCTCAATTCTACAAGTCTGTCTGTGAACAGTCCTTGAATAAAGAGACCACAACACTCCGATCCCGTGTGTGTATCGAACCGTACAGCTCAATGTTCCTTCAGGATGGACAGAAGCATAAAGCTTATAGGTTACATGCTTCTGATATGGACTAACTGCTAAAGCTTAATTACTCTCGGGCATCTGGCGAAAACCAAGGTTAAAATATTTATACACAAAATTAATAATGCGTTTATTTCAGCACATTTCGTTTGAAGACAGCCGTTGCACAATGAACATTTCTGGCATAACCGGGTCTTCTTAGCCTCGTGTAATGTTCCGATGACACTCAAGGGGATTTGTGAGGAGTTACAGGAAGTTTTGCGATATATGATAAGATTGAATAAGTCAAAAGATTAGTTAGCAACTAAGAAAGTGTAAGAAGCAATAGACCCAAATATCATTCATTGGCCTTCCAAACTTGAGACGCTCAATAGGCCATGTCCGATATATTAAAATTCTAACATGGCTCCGAGGCTAGGGGATATAAAACAAGAGGAATTAATTATTCATCCCTCAACCTTAATGTGATTTCTTTTGTTAATTCCACCAAGCCTCAGGGCCAAGTTTGAATTTTAATATATCGAAAATGGCCTATTGAAACCTAGGAGAGGATCCTTCATAAGTTGTTTAACACAACAAACGCAATCTCAATTTAAGATCCGCTCTCTCTTCCGACAACAAAATGTTTCCTGCAGAGTTTCTTCGAACTCTTTTGGTAACAGCATAAACAAAAAACCAATCACGATGGAAAATGCAGCAACTATTTTATAACTGCCAAACGCTGCTCCTCGAAAGAGATAATCTGTCACAGCATTGATAGGAATACCGAGAACTGTGCCAAGAGAGATGAACAAGGGGTACGTAAAAGCGATGCCAAAGTTTATCAGGAAGTTGAATATCATTCCCAGAACTGCATTTCCACAAAGATATTTCCAGGGGATATCTTCCCATTTGAATTCCTCCCAACGTGTATAATGAAAGATGACGATCAAGGGCCAAAAAAGTACAGTGCTGAGTAAACTGAGGCAGGACAGGAACAGGGAAACTTGACCTAATGTAGCGTCTCCAACGATCCTTTTAAACCAGACCTTAAAAGCAAAAGAGAAGGGTAACCGACCAGAACTCCCCGAGCGGGACATAGTACCGTGCGGGAGCCAAAGCGAACTCGTTTCCAGGATTTCTCGTGGGATGTCACCCAGTAAATGAAATTTGTGCAACATGTTAAATTAGCATTTCATTCTAAAAACAGACAACCATTCTGCTAACTAAAACTTTTTTGATTCAATAATTTTAATGAGAAGACAAAATTTTGGTGCGATAATAGTTCCAAGAGAATATGGTCTCTTGTAAGATCAATTCAGTGTGGTTGTGTCTGGATTTAAGCCTAGTTCAAGCTCAAACAAATTAATCGAAAAGTGACTAGACTTGCATAACTTTTACTAAAGAGGCTGTTAGATTTTTGCTTTAGTTTCACGACACGTAAAAATAAGATTCTGTAAACAAGGCTTTCAGCACTCGGATATCCCTGGCATCTGTTCTAGATTTTCGCACAGAGGGCATCTCGTTGATCAAAACCCTACCGGTACTTTGCGGAATTTACCTTGTACAAAGCAGCTCCGATTGCTGCAGTTACAGACAGTATTACACCAACAACGTTGGGTCCTGCAAATCCTTCTGCATAAGCCATCATTACTATACCTCCAATACAAAGTACAACTGCTGAAATCTGTGGAGGTAAAAAAATAAAATAAGACGAAGTGAAGGTCGTTACTGGGTTAAGGAGAGATTCCTTCATGTTGTCCACAAAAAAATGAGGTGAAACCTCCTACATCGAGTTTCGTCGAGCTCCCCTCACAAAGGCGCTATTAGAACTGCTGAGGTATTAAGAAAACTAAAACTACAAACAGATTCGTAACGATACGGAAAAGAGATATAGCGATAGAAACAAGAAGCAAACGACAACAGTACTAGTGTATCATCACTGCCAAAAGGTATCATACATCGACGTTCCTATCCTTGCAGTACGCAGGAACTTTAAATTTGTCACCAAGGAACTAGTTAAGGGGCCCAGTCTATCTCGAGTCTCCTATAGCTCAGTGGTAGAGCATCCGAAATGCCAGAAAATTTAGTTGTATCAACTGAGTTGATAATGAGAGATTCATAAAGTTCTAAAGCTGACTGTTTCTAAGGTTACCCCTTCGTTAGAGAGAAACGTCAGCTTTAGAATTTCTCTCAGGGGGCTATTTCACATTATCAGCTCAATTGATACGGTCAAACATTACCTTACTGGTTTCAAGTTGTGATCGAGGTTTTGTTCCCCTCACCTGAACAATTCCGAGCCTTTCTTGCAGCCAAATCAAGGAGAACACATAAACAAAAGCATTGCAAGACGAAAACAGAGCACTAACATCCGCTGCCCGAAGGACCCCGAGGGCTCGCACATAAGAGTAATTGGCTATCACCCAAAGAAGACAAAATGGCCCCACGTATTTGAGGAGTGAGCTGAGGTGTAGGCCTTGGCTTCCAAAGACTCTTTCACTTTCTCTAAAACAGAGGAAATAAAGACAAAACGCTGATGCATGTCACAACCTCGTTCCCAGGTCTTCTGACCCTCTGGAAGAGAGAGGGAATGAGGTTGAGCATGTCATGTCTCAAGCTTACCAGTGACGCGTAAGTATAAGAGAATTAAGGAATTTTTGCAACAGTGAATAAATTTAAAATAAGTCTTTATTACGGTTAGTCGGTAAGTTGGAGCAGGATCATAAGAAAATTAAAGAAGCATTATGGGGGGATCACGTAAATTTTATCATGAGACAACCGAAATCTGGCTTCCCCTCCCCTCCCCCATGACCAGTCCCTAAACTAGGACGAGAGTTAGAAGAATTTGATGAGATCAAATCTTTGTTTATGCTACATACTCCAAAAGTCTAAGAGTTTCGTCCCTTTTTTTTTTTTTTTTGACTTGACAAACCTGTAAAACTGAGTTATCTTCTTTCCTCTGAGTAGTGCCCGCAAAAAATAGACAGGAAAAACCACAAGCACCCACGAGGTCGAGAACCAAGAGACAAAGAACGGCGCATTAAAATCCGGCGAATATGAGCTCTGAGCGAATTGCGTTGACCCCACCCAAGAAAATGCGATCCCAATCACTATGGCAACGCCAATCAGCATCTTCCTGGTGTCGAGATGAAATCCTTCTGAAACTTTCTGCTGAGGTCCTTAGTGAAAGTAACCATGTTAGAGCAGATTGTGACCGAAATGAAGATCTAAATTCTTTTATTTTATACTTTATTGGTAAGAAGCGATATTGTTGTTAAAAGTGCTATTTAAAACAAACAGAGACCTACGATGAGCTTAAGTGCGAAACTGGTGCAGAGAAACTTGACTCCAAGTTCGTAATAGGAGCAGACGTCACCCCATCGAGATCAAGTCACGCACTACAAGCTATTCATTTTGAATCCAATCTCGACACGTCAAGACACGCATTGACATGTGTGTCTGTACTGCTCTTTTCTCCGATAAATATAATCTCTTGGTTGCTATACTCCGCCATAAATTTAAGATTACATCATTTTAGAATTTTTGTGAAGTAATCTACAGTTGAAAACAGAATACGGTCACCAAGTGACGACATCTTTCGGAGTGATTAGTATCAAAGTTTCTCCCCATCGATTTAGTGCTGACTAATATTTGCGTGTCTTTAGCAAGCAAAATTTCCGCACTCGGCAAATCGGATAGAGGTTATCCGATCCACTACTTCAATAAAATTAAATTATTTTATCGTCATCATGTACCTGCATCTTCGTCGTAGAAATTTGTTCGTCTTCCAGTTTGGTTGTCATTACCAGGTGTGAATAATAACTTTGATTTTTCGCTAAACGTCTTGAACTGGTTTTCGTTTCCTTGCATGATCAACTCTTCTCACACCAACAAGTGGAAAAAAATAAGTTATGAAAAGAGATCGTTAAATTCTTAATTGGAACACAAGTATTTGTCCCGCATTTGGCTGCGATTTTCCTGACGGGAACGTAAATAATGAGATCAAAGGTTTGTTGCACGTGAACTGCACGCTAGGGACAAAGCCTGATACGCGAGTTTTTCCTTTCATGAGTTTGTCTCTTGACGACATCCCGTTTGTATGAAATCAAATTATGGAGAAAGTTTTAGTTCCCATCAGTCTTTCACGTAATATTTGTTTCAAAACGTGACGTGAATCAAAGTCCTCCAATCATTTCTTTAACCGTTATTTAAAAATCTTTTATTTCTTCTTTAAAAATAGATTTACACTTGATATCATCCATAGTCCAACTCAAAGTTTTTGTTACTTTATTGCGTGGTCACGGAATTATTCATGCGTGCTACAAAAGAATAAGAGCTTGCGTGGCGAGCGCTTGCCGAGAATTTCACCGATACGCGCGAAAAAAAGAAGATCTCAGAAAAGCGTATATGCATCTTTCGACAAGTTATGTTACGTTACGTAAAGTTACAGGCTAGAAGCGTTGCTAACTACAATATATACAATATATACAATATGCAGCCAGTGCGCGTGTTCATTTGTCATTGCATCATTTGGTCAAAAGTTTTCTTTAACATGGTAAAGCATCTCAGATGATAAATATAAACTTACTGACACAAAATGATGGTACTCGCGTCTTTTCCTCTCACAGAACTAGTATTTCGTAGCATTCTACAAGTTGGAGGCAGTTGTCCACGGCGCAAAGAAGTTATTAAAGGACGTTCATGAAGCTGACGTTATAATTCGTGTTCTAGTTCACAAATACCAAGGGTCTCTTTCTTCTCAGAGCAGAACTGTTCGTGCACTAATTTATCGCAATAATTTATCAGTTATCGCGCGATAATTTCCATTTATTGCGCGATATTTTGATTTTATCGCGCGATAAAAAAAAAATGTGGCATGTCTTCTATGGGTCACCGCAGCCACCGTAGATCATAGCTTAAGAATAATCTCGATTTTGAAAACGAGCACGTGGCAATAGCAAGAACCAAAGGAAAGGTAAAAAACGAGTGATCAATTTTACTTTGAGTAACGACTACGAGCTAGATAACATAATAACAAGACAAGTTATTGATTACCAACGTGCGCGGGTCTTGTTTACTTTATCGAGGATTACAGTCTAACTTGTCTTCTATTCAAAACCGATCTTGATCACAAGGGGTCTTATCTTGAACTGAAACGCTAACTATAATTTTCTGTCTAAAAGGAACTAATCACGGGCGCGTCAAACTAACCAAAATATATTTCGCAGCTTTTTTCGGAATAATAATAATAATAATAATAATAATAATAATAATAAGAAGAAGAAGAAGAAGAATAATGATAATAAAATGATCAGCCCTAGCAATTTTTTTCATTCATTGCAGGTTGATCGGATCTTTTGCTGATCCATATCTTCATCATCAGCAGCTTAATTTGTGGTCACTTGCATTATTTTCAAATTCATTACCATTACCCCTTCCCCTCCCCCACCTTTAGGCAACAGCTCATACATTAAAAATAGAAAGCTTCTCCTTTAACCAGCTCCATGATAAGAAGTATACAAAAGCATTAGAAGATGAGAACAAAGCAGCAACATCAGCAGCATGAATGATACCAAGTGTACGCACGTATAAGTGATTGGTCACTACCCATGTGAGGCAGAATGGGTCAGCATGCGTCAATAGAGACATCAGGTGGAGACCTTGACTACCAAATACCTTTCCACTCTCCCTGAAAGAGTATTACTACTTCTCCCTGGATAGGACACCAGTCGATTGCAAGGTACACCCCAGAATTTCATCAGACTTCCCTGAACATTTGCTGGTATCCATTTCTACTATTGGGTGGACAAAGAGGCACTTTTAGAGTAACATGTTTTGCCCGAGCAAGAGACTAGGTCTTGAACCCAGACCTCTCCAGCCAGGTCTGGCATCTTAACCATTAAGAAAGGGCATCTCCCCAGTCTCTCACACTTACATATAAAAAAAAATAAGAAAATGGTTGAAGGATTGCACAAACCTGTATAATAAAAGCATCTGTTTTCCTTAGAGCAAGCCCACAAGAAAGTAAATTGGAAACACTAACACCATCCATATTGTGGAGAACCATGTGATCAAAACTGGTGCATCAAAGTCTGGTGAGTACATGCTCTGTGAAAACTGTGTTTTGCAAACCCAGGACACTACTGTGCCTATTGCTATGACTGTGCCACTAAACATCTTGCAGGACTGTGTATTTTTAATACATCCTCTTCGTTTTACTTCAATATATAATTTTAAAAAAGCTATTAGGGATATTCTGTAGAAAAAAATTACAGATTACATTCACCACTTTCACATCTGCAATTTGCATAGGAGAGGTAAATAATCCACCCCCATTTAATTAATCACTTGTTATCAGTTGACTGTTGTTGGGTGAGGAGAAGTGTGGGTGCAGGTTTCTCAAATACTGACAATGATCCAAGTTTCTAATACAGTTTTTAGCCCTTTAACCCCCAGGATCTGATTCACAACTCTCCTCTCTATGATTTATAACTGTAGAACCAGAGAAAGCTTCAAGGTGGAGAATATTAAAACAAACTGCAAATGAACTTTTTTGCTGGTAGCCTGAGTACGAGTCCCTGTAACAGACTTTCTTTTTGACCAGCGGATAATGTAAAATGGCTGCCGTATTTTGACAAAGTTATCATCTCCTTCACCTTGTTTGGTCATGGTTGTTTGTCAATATTTCTTAAAGGGCGATTGCCGATTTGGAGATAGTTGCCGTAATGAACATACTGCAGGTAAGCTTCATGGTTCCTTCACGCGGTTCTTCATTTGAAAAGTTTGCTATTACAAATATAATTTGATATCGATATTCCTCGTTTTTCAACAGAAAAACGGAAAACAGTTTGCCAGCATTTTTTGAATGGTTATTGTCGGTTTGGTGACAAATGCAGGAATGAACATCCTTCTGGAAGAGGTAATTGTCATATTATTTTAGAATATTGTGCAAATCGAATGTTTTTGTATATCTCAACTCGGATCTGTGCATTTACATGTACGAGTATTTTTTATTTTTTTTTTGTAGCTTCAAGCTAAGTCATCAGAAAAACTAAAATTACGAAGTTATACATAGAGTTGAGTTTACTAACTAAAGATAAAAAATACTGATCCACTTAAAGAATGTTGTGTGTTAATTTGCAGCAAATACTGGATTCGGTCAACAGAATTCAGGATTCAGTGGAAGAAGTGGGCAATGGGGCAAATCTTATCCATCTAACCAGGTAAATAAACAAGAAATATATAGAAAAATCCAGATTTTTATTAAATGACTAGTGTCTTTTCCATCGTAAGTTTCCCTATCCGAGAGTTTGGATTGAAAAGGTCACCCCTTGTTTTTGATCATTTTGAAAGGGCTCTAAATTTTCTCAATTTATTTACGCAACTTTTGTTTACAACACATGCAATTCAGAACAGTTCAGATAGCGCAAAATATGGACATAGTTTACAAAGGTTAATTCTTAAAAAAAAAAAAAAAAAAAAAAAAAAA